GACTTTAGATCTACAAGTCCTTTCTTAAATTCGTACAAGGGCTTCTCTGAGTAAGGGACATTTATCGTCTTCAGGCGCATGTCCGTCTTCAACTCCTTTGTCCTTGCAAGCTATGACACATTTTTTATACTTATATTATTTTCTAGTATCCCTAGTTTACCATATTTCCAACAGCAGTTTCTTCTGTCGGGTGCCTTGCATCCTCATGGTCATAGCCTAGACATCGGAAGCAACGACGAACTTGAATTCTTTCTATAGTTCCACAGTTCACTAACCCTATTATTATTCTTCCTATCTTGAGAATCTCGTTGGCCATCTTCTCAGAGACCCTTATTAATGCTGTTTGCATTGTGACACAACCTTTCAGCAGTGCGTATTCAATATCAGTTCTCGACTCATTCCTCTACAGCACATTTTCCACCTCCGCTATGACTTCCTCTTTAGTTGTCACTTCGTCGATATCTTTTACCTCTAGCGTTGCCTTTGGTCTCAGAGATTGCAACTCAGCGAGTTCGCTCACTGTTTATGCCGTTTTTTGACTATAGGTATCAACGCTCATGTTTTTTTCAACTCAATCAGGAGTTTTCCCTCCTTGATCATCTCACTATTTGAACCTCATCGTTCTCTTTCATTTCTTCTGAGGTGCTGAGTTTCTTTAAGACGTCAGCATATGAAACCTCTTTTCTTACTATAATCGTTAGAGCCTCATTTATTTTAAATACAGGTCAAGCCGCTTTCTTCTGTTCCTTGTCTTTCTTTTTGCTCTTTTCCTGGATTTCCCATTGCTTCTCGTCCTTTACCTCATCTATTTCGAGCCATTTACTCTTCTTGCTCTGATTTTCTCCACTTTCCTGTGGGTTATTACTTATCTTCTCTACCGCTTCCTTCTGTTTGTTTCTCTTATCTCTCCTGTTAGTCTCCTCTGGTGGATTATGCATCGCTATGGACTGTGCATCCAGTCGCTGTGGACTGTGCATCCAGTCTATTTTGCCCTCCCTTAGCCTTGTCTTCTCTTTTTGAAAAGGAGTTCAGGGACTCTGAGAATTCTATCTTCTCGCCTGAAGCATCGCGCCATCCATTCTTCAGGGCATCGATGTTTTCCCGTACTTTAGCCAAAGCAAATTTCACGGTCACCAGGTTGTTCTTCAACATATACTTTTTTAACATCTGAAGATTTTGGCTCAGACCCTGAATAACCCCTCTCCGCTGTTCTTCTAGCTGTAGAATGGTCTCACCTTTTTAAATAATTCTGCTCTCACTCGTAGTAATATCTGCCATCTTCATAATACCTTCTTCAGATCTATACTGCTCGGCAGTTACAGACCAGCTATACAGACGGAGACGCGACTCATCCCGTATAGCCAAGAATGTATCAATTGGGGAACGTAAATTTTGGAGAAAATCGGCTGAACAGTTTAGCCGATTGGCTGAATGGTACAGACATTTTGTTAGAGATTATAGTTTTTGTTAAAGCTGCAATATATTAAATTACCCTGATCTTATTGTTACAAAGAAATCGTTTCTTGATGACTATCAAGCTCTTTTGTGATATCAACCTTTTGTGATTTTGGTATGCCAACCAGCCTTGAGGAAGACCACGACAAGATGGTCGAAACGTCGACAACACAACCTTCGACGCGGCGTCACCCCGACAGCCCAGATCACGCACATGACTCTGGCTGCGGAAGCCTACGACTCCATCGTTCTACATGTTCTACCATGGATGAAAAAGTGTTGTTCTATGTTCGTACTTCGGACCGCGGGCGTTGGCAGTGAGTCGAGGCCTAGCTGGGTTAGCTAGAAGCCGTGAGCTTATGGATAAAATACGACATAAGGGTCTATTTTCTTTTAAAACGTCATGATCATTCTTCGTTGAAGGTTTTTCTCTGCCTATAATGGTTTATAAACGTTTTTGTTTTACTTAGGTACACTTTCCGCTTTTTGCAGTGAGATATTCGTTTTTCTCTAAAATAAAGTTGTATTTTCAAGATAACCAAGTTGTGTCGCATAGTGAACTGGGGCAAAATGAGCTAGGAGAAACATAGTAAGCTTTTTTTAGCTACCCTACTGGTCCCCAAAATCTAGAATGTAAAATTATAGCACCCTCGGAACAAAGAGGACAAAAGTAGATGTCTGCTTTGGAGCAAGAAAAGTTAGATTGTTATATCAAGTCAATGGTACTAGGTTACTGGTTCTGCCCATCTTCGCAAGTCACACGTCTTAAAGTTTTTCTGTCATTTTCAGATGTTTCACGTGAAAACGTATGAAGATTTTTCACATTTTTGCAATATAAAAAACCCACCTAAGGACATGGCTCTCAATAAATAAGTTGTCATTTCTTTTCATTGTCAAAACGTATTATACAAACACAGCATCATAATATGTACGAACCAATAAACATTTACGGTTCTTCAAGACTTTATTTGTGTAAAAGCTAAGCCATCATCTTCAAGACTTTGTGTAAAGGCTAAGCCCAAATGTTACTTAGGAAGGTTGCCTTTTATGTTTCGGCATTTGGCAACCCTGGTGTTGCAATCTGGCAACTGACTGCTCTATCGTAAAGTTGGATGTTTTGAGATTATACGTACTCAGAACGTTTTGACATACGAGCGCTGTTTGTGTTGTTTACAGTAACTTAAAATATTCATCTTGGCCCAAAAATGGAATTAAATCGTGGACAATTTTGGTGCGATTATTTTTTACAACTTTCGACGTGGATTAACTCAGCGACAGTGCATAGATGAACTTCATTCAATTTTTGGCGATGAAGCTCCATCAAGGACCAGTGTTTATCGATGGTATGGTGAATTCAATCGTGGTCGTAGTTCACTCCAAAACGAATTTCGCGAAGGTCGTGCAAAATCAATTGTTGTTCCGAAATCCATTGATGCTGAGCGTGAACTCATATTGCAATATCGTCATGTGACCTATCGTGAGATTGAGACAACCTGAGGAATTAGTGGGTCCAGCATACATTCAATATTGCATGAACATTTGACTGTCAAAAAAATTTGTTCGCGTTGGATCGCGCACACAATTTGTCAATCGCTCAAAAAA